AGAAACAGTGAGAAAGTCTGTTACAGACATGAGGATGGTTCTTCCGCCATGCCTTCCGCTCCTCGGCGAGCCGACCACGCGCTATACCACCTGACATACCTCTGCAACCCTCTCCTCTTCTCTAACTATAGAAGCTCGCACGGCTCTGGAACTGTATATATCTTAAGAGAGCAGCACGGAACACCGAAATGGAAGAGAAGTTGCAGAGAAATTGTATTGTTCCTTCATTTGTTCGGGAATTTTTCTCTTTCCCGGTTATGCCCCTTAGGAGGGGCCGCTTCGGAGACAGAGCGGAGGGAAACGTACGGTCCAGATTTGATCAGGGCTAGGCGGCAGGAAAAAAGATCAGGACGAGGTACGTTGTCCTTTTTATGTTTTCTAATTAAAATAATTTTTGCCCCTGAAAAGTCAATTTGCGGTTTTTTTTTTTTTTTTTTTTTTGTAGTATACTATTTTTTATCTAGCGTGAAATCCACGCTACCCTGTAGCTGCACGTGACTCATTCATATTCTCACGCGTGTTTTATTATTTGGGCCGAGGTAGGTTGCTGGAGCCCATGATCGCTAACGGACAAAGTCCTTGGGCCCGAGTCTTTTTTTAAAGCCACCGCAGCGGCCTCGTGAATTTTTTGTTGTGTCACTGGACACTGGTGTAGTGGTGTAGTACGAGCACATGCACCGGTTGTCTGATGTTCAAAGACCAAGCTGGAAAGAGGCAGAAAAAGAGAAAAGTTTCAAGTAAATAATGTTTATGACCGTACCAATAGGACGTATTTATTAATTTAAAGTTAATATTAGATATTTAAATCTCTATTTTAACTAGTAATTAACTATTTAATGTATCCAAAAATAAAAAATTCAAGACCAATGCTATTAATGTCCACACGATGAAGCACGTGACATAACAATAATAGAAAAGTAATGTATGGTCCATGCTTATACCATTAATGATTTTTTTTTTTTGGGGGGGGGGGGGGTTTAGTGGGCAATGCATTCCCAAGTTAGTGTACACGTATTTTTAGATTAATTTCTCTTAATCTAGTCAAAAATAAATTATTTATGTTTAATAAATTTATGACCGTTGGGTTGGGGACGATGAAGAGGACCATTATGACCATTATTGTACCATGAGCATTATAAATCTTGGGTGACCAATGTCACAAACCTATTTTCCTTTTGGCTGATCTGGTTTAGATTTTTCGTTGATTACTCGAGAATGACAATAATTTTAAATCAATCTCCTTGATTAAAATAAATCAGTTCACCATGATTATTTTTTTGCTTTGATGTATTAGCATTGGATACTAGTGGTTTTTGGATTTTCTCATTATTGTCTCTCCATTCTAAAACCCAAGACGATGCTGCATAATGGCAAATCTCGGTGGCAACAACATTTTATCCAATCTCCGAGGCATTTTTGCATCTCTTTTGAATGGTCAAAGGAATATCATTGTAAGCAAATATGGTAAGCAACGAGTTTTCTTTTTTTGAAAAAGCACC